AGACAGGGTTGCTATGGTATTCAAGGACGTTGCTACCGACTTTAGATATGTTTACCCATTTGCACGTCGAGACACCTCCAACACGACACTCGCAATGAAACATTTTGTCGATGACTTGGACAAGATTGGAATCTTTTACAGTGATAATGCCCCTGAAATTGTTGCAGCCATGAGAGCTATGAAGATCAGGCATCAAATAAGTAAAGAATACATCTCAACATCCAATGCCATCGCTGAGAGAGCTGTTCGATCCACGTTGGAAGGAACCCGTGCAAATTTGCTTCAAGCAGGACTTCACCATGTGTATTGGCCATATGCCGCCAGACACTGGTGCATCATGCATGATGCAGCACCGGATGGGACTGGAAAGGACACACCGTGGAAACTGAGATTTGGAGCTGACTTCGAAGGACCACTAATCCCGTTTGGATGTAAGGTGGACTATTGGACAGGACCTAGGAAGAGACCCAAGAGACAGATGAAATTTGAACCAACAACTGAGCCGGGCATTTTCCTAGGGTATGTGATCCATCCAGGTTTCCATTGGAGAAAAGAATTTGCAGTCGCTTCACTGAAGCAAATCAATGATGCAGATTTTGACCAATCCGTCACTGTATTGAGGGTATTAAAGGTATCAGTCCCCGAGAACATTGAATTTCCATGTCGCAAACGTGCCGATGCCATCCGAGAGGGTCGACTGAAACCCGACCAACTGTGTGATGACGAGGATGCCTTACCGCCACTGGAAGAGCAAGATGCTCAGCCTGTGCGGGAGCCAGGCCCAGTCAAAAGGACAATAACCGACATTGAAGCTGGTCAGCCTGCCCAACAATCAAGTGCATCCGCCGTGTACCACCAGGGTTGGTTAGAGTTTTTCAAGCATGTTGATCACAAGGAGGCATGGTATGAGTATGCGAACTGCAAGATCAATGTTCGGATCATTGACAACCAATGTATAGGCCCTCTCCTGACTTTAGTGCAGCCGATTTCCCATTCCGAACAACCTGCATTAAAGACGATGGATCGTGGCATGTCCATGAAGAGAATCTCAAGATCGATCCTCCAATTGAAAATCTTGAAAAGGAAATCGAACTCCATGAAGTAATCATTAGCATTTTCTCCAAAGAGCCCATCGACTTGAGGAACCGCGTGGACGAGCCCATCGCAGGAGAGGTGCCGGACAATGAGGTTGAGGTGATCAATCCAGTGACTGGGGAACTTGAAAGAATCCGTACAAATGACCCTTCATACTATGACGCAGGTGGTTTCAAAGCAAGAAAAATAAAGAATTCAAGCAAACCAAAGGACATCCCTCCTTTTGTGTGGCAAGCTATGTCTCAGAAAGAAAGAAGAGCATCAATTGCAGAAGAGCAACGCAAGCTGGCCCTCGAAGAAAAGGAAAAGAAACGTGCTAGGAGAGTGAAAGCTGTGCCCATGATCGGAACTCTCAAGACACCTCCAAATGACTTGGAAGAAAACCTACCATATGAATTCATTCCGGCAATGCCAGTATGTCAAAAGAACCCGCAGAAGCACCGAGTAAAATGTGTTAGACTTGGAATTCGATCAGGTGAAAAGGCCATTAACACGCTTGTTGCGAGGCCAGTGGGAAAGAAGGAAATTAGAGCCAATCCCAAAGCCCAACAAGCGCTCGACGTGGAGTGGGAGAAACTGGTAAAGAAGAATGCTTGGCAATACGAAACCGTATCTGAATGGAAAGTGATTGCCGATAAAGCCAAGAAGTCCGGTAAGAAAGTTCACGTAGGGAAGGTCTTTGAGATTTGCGTTGAAAAGGGTAGTGAATTACCTGAAGGGGACAAGCTCCGAAAGTTCAAAGGGAGAATGGTATTCCAAGGCAACAATGTAAAGGACGAAAGTTCCGATGTTGCGCTGTTTTCCGAATTAGGTTCTTCACCTGCCACCATGGAAGCTGGCAAAGCAGTGGATGCCTATGGAGCTCAACCTGGTTTCATTACTCAACAGAATGATGGAGTACAAGTGTACACTCAAGCACTATGGAAGGGCATTGAGACATGGGTGGAACTACCAATTGACAGATGGCCTAAAGAGTGGCATGGTAAGTTCATTAGACCGGTAGTATTGCTTCGAATCGCTCTTTACGGTCACCCCGACTCGGGGGGGCTCTGGGAACAATTCTGTGAAGCTATGCTGAAGCTAGTGGGCTTTGTTATGCCAGACCCGGAAGGGTGGCCATCAGTGTTTTCTACCCGGAGCTCAAGTTATTGCTTGTGGTCTATGTTGACGATTTCAAAATGTAAGGACCCAAAGAAAACATGTCAAAGGGATGGAGCTTGATAGCATCTAAGATTGATATGGACACACCTGGGGAAGTTAATAGATATCTTGGATGCGACCATGTAGTTCAACACAATGTGAAACTTCAGGTCGGGGATCACCCCTATGCTCATGTCTTTGATAAGTCATTGGCCGACCCGGCCGCGCCTGCCGCCGCCGCGTGCCACAGGACTCAGGATTTTTGGGAACTGGACACCGTCAATGACGTCTACATGAGACACCACGTGCAGCCTAGGAAAAAGTTGTTTATGCCAGACGAGGAAGTTGTAGTATCATGCCAACTCACTCCATTCAGGTTTACAAATGCAATCCCATGCAACAACATCGAACATGAAGTCGAACAATGGGACACCATGGGCATTGGTAGCCTGAATGAATCATGGATTGGAACAACTTACTTCTTCCCAACGTCATGCAAAGATCCGAAGGCTGCCATGGCCACTATCAAGAGGGATAAGTCCGGAGCCAAAAAGAAAGCAAGAGCGGAAGGTTTCTCATATATGGACCAACTGTTTGAAAATCAACCCTGCATGCAAAAGCCAGTGACGACCTTCACATATGACATGGAGCCTTTCTTGAAATCATGTGTGGATAGGTACGTAACACTTGCTGCCAGGGATGCCAAGCCTCTCAAACAAGCTTCCACACCATTCTATGAAGAACGGATTGCAGGGCCCATTGCCGATGAAAAGGAAACTAAAGGCGTATTGGCACCAATCGCTGCAAGGGTCCTTATGAAAGTGCTTTTTGCCGCCAGGATGGCAAGGTTCGACTTGCTACGGGCCGTCCAAGGCCTAGCAGCTCGTGTGACAAAATGGAGTGCAGATTGCGATAAGGCACTGCGCCGACTTATCTGTTACATAAATTCCACCCTGGACCATAAACAAAGGGCTTTCATTGGGGACAAGGTCAGTGACTGTAGACTTTGGCTGTTCGCTGACGCAGATCATGCAGGAGAGTACGATAACCGATCCACCAGTGGTTGTCTGTTAGTACTCGTTGGTCCCAATACATACTTCCCGCTCACTGCATTCAGTAAGAAACAAACTGCCGTAGCAATGTCAAGCACCGAAAGTGAAGTAGTAAGTGCAAACGTATCCCTTAGAGCTGTCGGTCTTCCTTCCTCCGGTTTATGGGCATACCTCCAGAACGCGGGGGGGGAGAAAGAGAGAAAAGACAGCATTCCGGGAGGTTTGCCAAGGCATGACATTGAAACCCAAAAAGAACCCAATGTGGAATACTGGCATTTCATGAGAAGTAGAAGATTACTCATTAGAGTCCACACGAAACCAAGGAGCCATTTGTTCACCCCTGTTGACATGTCCAAGTCCCCCATCAACCTTAAACGCATCGGATGCTCTCGCACCACCGTGATGCTAAAGGATGGGACGGTTGACTTCATGCAGGACAACTGGAAGGTCAAAGTGGATTACCCGATCAACGGGGAGTGGACGGGCAAGACTTTCTTCAGGGTCTATGGTCCCTACGAGTCCGACTACAACATCGAATCCGTTGAGATCCGTGAAGCCATCACCGACTACGAGTTCGTAGGACGTGAGAAAGAGGGAGAGTGCATGATATCCATGTTTTCCCCACGGTCTATTAAAGGAGTGTTTGTGGAGGACAATCAGGCCACCATTAGAATTCTTGAGAACGGAAAATCGCCCACATTCAGGCACACAGACAAAACACAGCGAGTCAATCTATCTTGGTTGGAGGAACAATTCAAAAGAAGATGGTATAAGCTAGTCCATGGTCCTAGCATGCTCCAAGCTGCGGACATTCTCACAAAGCCATTTGTTAGTGCAGAGAAATGGAAATTGGCTGTGAAACTTCTTGCAATAACCCCCACCAAGAAAGTATCCCCACAAAAAGCTTTGGCATCTGCAACGGAGGCTCTTGCGCCTCCATGCATTGCAGCACCAAGCACGGGGGGACCCGCTGCCAAGTCTGATACTAAGAGACTGATCGTTGAAGTATGCTGTCATCCTGAATCAAAACTCCGTCAAACCAACAGAAAGTGGTCAGATGGTTGCGAAGTACTACAGTTCACAAAAGAATTTGATCTTAATGAAGTGGAAAACCAAATGAGGATTGCAGAGTATGTCAACTCTGTCAAAGGTGATGTAAAACCGTTGATATGGATCAGTCTACCGTGCACGGGGGGTACGCCTTGGACGTACATCAATATGCGAAACCCCAGTGCACGAGAGAAAGTTTTGAAACATATCAGAGAGTTTGACCGACTTTGGATTTCCTTGAAGTCTTTCCTTCGGATGTTGAACAGTGATGTACACATTGCACTTGAATGGCCACACAAATGTCGGTATTGGAAATTGACCAAAGTTGCGAGTTTGTTGAATCAATATGGAATGATTGCATATCATTTTGACGGTTGTGCCTTGGGTATGAAGAATCAAGATGATGAACCTTTGAAGAAACCTTGGACTGTGGCAGCTAATCATTCTGGTGTCGGAAAAGCATTATCGAAGTTTCAGTGCAAGTGTGAGAGGCGTCATGCACAAGGCAGAGGTTTAGCATTGAAGAAAACTGAAGAATATACCTTTCGCATGACTGATGCCATTCACAAAGCCCTGACCCAACAGCAACCTTCGCTCAAGTCCGCTTGTTGTGCTCTCGCCGTGACCTATCACTCGCTCTTTGTCATCATGCTGTCTCGCGCAATGCAGATGGCTAAGGCTTGTGCTGTTGCCGGGAGGCCAGCCATCTTGGAGAGGATTACCCAGTGGGAGAACGTTGTCAACACTCTCCGGGGAGCCATTGCGGTGGCAACCTGGGACGACCCACAGGTGCTTCTACGAGAAATGGAAGGCTGCAGACTCCCATTGGCGAACATTGTCGAGTCCATGTTGGGCCAAGGCAATTCGGAGGGAGCATACGACACAATGACTGAAGTGTTCCGCAACACCCCCGATGGTTATCTGGCGATGTGCCCCTACCCGCCGGGAGGCGAGGTCGACCTGCTGATTGTGTCGGATTCATCACTGGCATTGGTGCCGGATCCCAATGCAGGCAAGACCTCCTGCTTCTCCGGAGGCGACCTCCTCAAGCCTTGGGGAGACGTTCGAGGCATTTACACAAAAATGCTATGGGGCAAAGGCTTGAACAACATCGTCCAGTACATCCCCGAGGCCATCGATGACATCGAAGCCAACAACCGGACCCACGGGCGCCCAGTGTTGCCTGTGCTGGTCATCATCGGCTGGGCTGGAAATGACGTCTATGGTGAGGGAGGCTATCGTGGCGTCCATTGGATCCACAGGGCTGCGTACAACAAATCTGCTGCCGACCGGGAGGTCACGGCCAACTGGTGTGAGCGGCAAAAGGCCCGAGTTGAAAGGTCTGTGAACGACTTGGGTCGACTCAAACGTGAAGAGCCAAGGATCCTGGACATTGTGGTTGTGGGCAACGCTGATGCAGACCTGTTTGCGCTGCCATCAGCCTACAATGACACGATGAAAGACCACATTCGATCTCTACGCGAGGATCATGCCATCCAGACGCTCGACACAACCATCATGCTGGCCCGCACTGTCAGATATGACAAGATCCATCTTGAAGACGATCCGCTCAACAGAAAGTATGTTACCAACTTTCTGACAGCGGTGGCGGATTGCCACTTGTCCTATCTGAAGCTCATCAGCGTCGACGATCATTTGAGAGCTCTTCCTCGGATTGACGACTTGCAAGAGCAGAAAGATTACCCGAACTTGCAAGCCTTGAGAGTCGCATATCAGATGTGGATCGACTCGAACGTCTCGTCGCCCCAAGATCTTCCTCCACGTCCTGATATGGAAAAGGTGATGCTCGAGGCCGACGTGGAGATCTTCAACTGGGTTCTTCAAGCTGAAGAAAACGCCACATCTACTGCCAACCGGGAGGTTGAGTCTTGGATCAGGGAAATCGCAGAAGAGGACCAGGCTATCGAACCTGTCCATCAAGACAATGCGGATTCTGATGACGAGATTGTCAAGATCAAGGCTCTGACCATGGAAGACCGGATTGCAGCTCGACACCAAGGACTTTCCGAAGAACCAGATCAGGAGTGGCAGGATGTAACTTATGGGGCAGACGATCAGGAGGAGGAATTCACCGGGTGGGATTTGATTGAAGATGACAAACGCCCGCCGGGAGTCGTGGCCAGTGACCCATTGCCTGAGGTTGAGGAGGAGCTGGACATCGATGACCTGGAAACGGTGGCCTCCTTGGAGATTGTCGAGGAAGAGGAATTTCATGACGTTGACGAGGGCCAGGCTGAGGGCATCGACGATGATGACGACGACGACATGGCTGTGATCAGCAAAGTCTCCTCCATGCAGGGCAGCAAGTCCGATGCACGGGGGGACCCGGAGCCTATGGATGTCGATGAGCAGGGCAACAAGATGGCTCAGAGCACGTCGTCCGTCAAGACTTGGAGAACTGACACATCAGCAGCGTCGGCGGGAGCCACGCCTCCTGACCCGTCCAGCAAGCTCAAGCCGAAGACCAAGCCGGCAAAGAAGGCCATGCCGAAGAGACTCAAGGTCGTCGATGAAGGGCATGGTCCGAGCGCTGAGCAGTTCGACACATCCAAGTTCACGTCGGCCCAGGATTTGTTTTGGATCGAGCCCGACAACATGGCTGGCGTTCCTGTGAGGAAGGTGGACTACGGCAGGTTGGGCTCCATTTCACATGCGATGTCCGATTATCTCCGTGGCCACAGGATGTTCCACAGGAGGCCTTCGCCAGAGATTCGTCGCACTGATTTGTCTATGGACTTTAAGGCACTGGTTCGACATCTCCAAGGTGACTTTGTGCATTTGCGTGAAGAAGAGGTGCTCATGGTGGTGCGAAATTCGCCCATGCGCCGCTTTCGAATCCAGGTCAATGGCATGTCCTCAGGCAAACTCAGATGGACACCCATCAGGATCAGGGCAATCCAGGGACATCGGGCCTTTTTGGTGGAGCAAGGGGGCATGGCATCCATGATCAAGACCATGTACACCTTCGATGAGGACTTCGACCAGATGAAGGTTGATGATCCCTCGGTGCACCCCGCTTTCTCCGCGATGCCGGAAGGCTCGCCCATCTGGGACAAGTTCCCTCGTGTGATTTACCACACGTGCGATCAAGCTGCCTTCAACTCCATCCTGAAGCACGGCTTGATCCCGGGCGGCTTTCCCTACAAAACGGGCCGAGCGCACAACTTTTTCAATTCCACTCCCCCATGGAAGGCGGAGATGAAAAAGTTGCAAGGAACGCGGGCCGGGAGGCCGATCGCCATCGCTTTCGATATGGAGCTCATGATGCAGATGGGCTTCAAATTGTTCGCGACTGATGAAGCGATCTTGTCGCCCGACTGGATTTCCAACCTTGCCCTGATCAACGCCTATGATATGAGGTCGGGAGAATTCTTCTACATCAATCGAGCGTATGTGAACCATCGCAAGTCGTATCAGGCGGTTCTGAAGGAAGCCAAGGAGCACTTCGACCCCAACGACAAGCTGCTGAGCAGGATGGACATGCACATGGATGATGCTCTGAGGAATTTTGAAGGCATCAAAGCCCGCATTGAGTTTGGCAAGCTCCTGCCCTTTTCCAGGCGCGAAAATCTTGATGTTGAAAAGAGCACCGCCACCCGGGAGGGTGAGCCTGCATCCGGTTCACAACTTGTGCAAGGCTACACCGTCGCAAAGATGGCTGCTCTCACGAGCACTGATGCTTGTGGATTTCAGCGCCGTGGAAGAAATGCCCAGGGGGGAGGAAACTGGAACAAGGGGCAAGGACGATACGGTTTTGACCTGCAGTTCAAGGACATCTCCTACTGCCAGATCCAGGACACTCCACAAGTTCAATGCCGGCACCCTATCTGCGGCTACCTCATGATTGATGGTCATCTCAAGTGCCCACAGTGTTTCCGACAAATGGAGCCTGTCACAGATGCCAACATCGCTACTGAGGTTGCCCGTCGGGAGGCGTCGGCCAGAACCAGAGGAGTCCCCTTTTCCATGGACAAAGTGATCTTCAATCACCCCCGCAGAGGCAGGAACCTGAAGGAGGGTCTTCTTCATCATCGGCAGTTCGGACCAGAAGCACGTATGGAAACTTGCGAGACATGGCACGCAACTATGTCAGATCTTTCAAGAAACGTGGCTTCAAGACGCTGGTCGACAGATTGTGTCGAGACCCATTCTTTCAGTTCAATGCGGCGAACCAAAATTTGGTGCCCGAAGCCCTCCAATTCATCGAACGGCTGGCTGGCTGTGTGAGCCCGACCATTGAGCGCACCAAGGCCCAGGTCCTGGGAGAAAAGCTGGAGATGGCCACCAAGCTCATCTTTGTGCCTTCGTCAGAGCGGGAGCCTGACCAACCTTTGGATCTTCATACCGAAGTGTTTGTGTCGCATCGAGGCGTCTTTCTCGACATTGGCCAATTCGCAGTCTATGTGGCGAAGTTCATCAAGCCGAAGCAAAGACCCCTTCCGATTGTTTACGGGTGGGGGAATCGTGACTTCGTGCCAGATGCTTCGGACTCAAAGGGCATTGCGAAGGAATTGGTGGCATTCAGCAAGTCGCAGTGGTCGGACTTTGCATCCCAGCAGACCCACAAAGAGGCTGGAACCACTGGCGACGACCGGGAGGTCAGTCTACCCCATGCAACCGCATCGGTTAGTCTGCCCGAACACCAAAGACCTCATCATGAGCAGTTCGAGCCCAACCTTGGCAAGCCTGCTCGTGGTGGTCCTTACGGTCAAAGCCATGGAGGAAAAGGTCAATCCAAAGGAGGCGGATATCAGCAGGCGAAGGGCCAGCAGAAGGGGAAGGGCAAGCAAGGCAGAAGCCCACCGGGAGGTGTGGCCTATGGTGACTTTGAGGGGCGCTCCTATTGGGTTCAGGGCTACCGCTACACATGGTACTGGAACCAACAGCGTGGCTGGTACTGGCGCTGGACCTGAGCTCCTGAGTGACCCGCATTGACGCTTAGGTCATATCTTTCTTTTTCAAATTTGCTTGCCGGGAGGCATGCCTGTCTATGACAAACTTGGCAGGCATTGCGCCCATGTTGAACACACCAAAGCTTCGACGCATATCAAGCATCACACCATTCAAATAAACTTCAATGCATTGAATTCCGTACAGTTTGAATGAATTAAAATTTTACTTCAATAACTTCTCAAGCCATACAATTGGATGTTCAAGGCAAGACATCTAATCGATTCGCACTTTCATGGCTGTACAGTTTTTCCTTGCCATGGTGTCCGATTGGGATGACAATTGAGGAATGGTATTGTTCCTTCATTCCATTTGAAGACGCCTGGCGGGAGCCAAGGCCGTGCCGTGTGCAACCTCGAGCCAACTCTGGCGTAAAAGAAGCATCCGACTTGCATTCGAGCATCCGTCTCATGCCTTGACATCCGAAGCCCATCACTCGTTTACCATAGTTGGTAGATCATATCGTGCAAATCTACCTGAACTTAGGTCAACTTGTGGCGGCGGACTACAGGCACATGGTTTACCGTAACTGCTAAGCAGTTGCGTTAAACGGGGGGTGTTTTTACGGGAGTACTATTATGTATTCCCCATACTTCCCTGTAAAATAGTGTCTGTTGTCCATTGTTACATACTATTGACATTATGGCTCAAGAAAACAAAGCGTGCGCTGTTGCTGGCTGATCGTGGTTGAATAACCTCTAAGTATACTAATTAACTAACTGACTGACTAACCAGCTATCTAACTAACCAAGTAACTCACTAACTAACTAACTAACTAACTAAGTAACTAACTAACTAACTAACTAAGTAACTAACTAACTAACTAACTAACTAACTAACTTAACTAACTTAACTAACTTAACTAACTTAACTAACTTAACTAACTTAACTAACTTAACTAACTTAACTACTTAACTAACTTAACTAACTTAACTACTTAACTAACTTAACTAACTAACTAACTTAACTAACTAACTAACTAACTAACTAACTAACTAACTAACTAACTAACTAACTAACTAACTAACTAACTAACTAACTAACTAAACTAACTAACTAACTAACTAACTAACTAACTATACTTTCTCTTTACTTTTCTATTGAAATCTCTTCTTTCTCTTTACTTTTCTATTGAAATCTCTTCTTTCTCTTTACTTTTCTATTGAAATCTCTACTTTCTCTTTACTTCTCTTTTGAAATCTCTACTTTCTCTTTACTTTTCTATTGAAATCTCTACTTTCTCTTTACTTTTCTATTGAAATCCCTACTTTCTCTTTACTTTTCTATTGAAATCTCTACTTTCTCTTTACTTTTCTCTTTACTTTTCTATTGAAATCTCTACTTTTTGTCACTTTCTAAGCACTTTCCCATTGAAATCTCTACTTTTTGGTTACTTTCCTATTGAAATCTCTACTCTCTGTCACTTTCTGAGCACTTTCCTATTGAAATCTCTATTTTCTGCACTTTCTAATCACTTTCCTATTGAAATCTCTACTTTTTGGTCACTTTCCTTTTGAAATCCCTACTTTCTCTTCACTCTTCTACTGAAATCTCTACTTTCTGTCACTTTCTGAGCACTTTCCCATTGAAATCTCTACTTTCCTTTTGAAATCTCTGCTTTCTGTCACTTTCCAATGCGATTTGCTGAATGCACTTCCCCCTAGCACAGCGCCGCAAACCTACCACCCAAACCCACCTTGACACCACCATTACAATGCGATTTGCAACTCTTTGCATGCACTTCCCCCCACCTTAACAGCACCATTACAATGCGATTTGCAACTCTGTGCATGCACTTCCCCCTAGCACAGCGCCGCAAACCTACCACCCAAAGCCACCTTGACACCACCATTACAATGCGATTTGCAACTCTTTGCATGCACTTCCCCCTAGCACAGCGCCGCAAACCTACCACCCAAAGCCACCTTAACAGCACCATTACAATGCGATTTGCAACTCTGTGCATGCACTTCCCCCTAGCACAGCGCCGCAAACTTACCACCCAAACCACCCTGACACCACCATTACAATGCGATTCGCAACTGCTGCAAACCTACCACCCAAAGCCACCTTGACACCACCATTACAATGCGATTCGCACCTCTGTGCATGCACTTCCCCCCAGCACAGCGCCGCAAACCCACCACCCAAAACCACCTTGACACCACCATTACAATGCGATTTGCAACTCTCTGAATGCACTTCCCCCTAGCACAGCGCCGCAAACCTACCACCCAAAGCCACCTTGACACCATTACAATGCGATTTGCAACTCTCTGAATGCACTTCCCCCTAGCACAGCGCCGCAAACCTACCACCCAAAGCCACCTTGACACCACCACTACAATGTAGCACAGCGCCGCAAACCTAGCACCCAAACCCACCTTGACACCACCCTTACAATGCGATTCACGACCTACGATTTCACTTCCCAATGGAGGACCGATCCGACGATAGGCGAGCATAGGCGACCATAGGCGAGCATAGCCGCAACCGCCGTCTCACACCTCCTACCTTCGCGCCCACACACAGCCGTTTCTATTGTAAAACACAGCATTTCGCGCACAATCTTACTTTCAGACACAGCTTTTGTGTGGGAAAACACAGCATTTCCTGCACACGCCTCTACTTGACATGACTAACTCTTTGACTTCACTAGCTCTTTGACTTCACTAGCTCTTTGACGTCACTAGCTCTTTGACTTCACTAGCTCTTTGACTTCACTAGCTCTTTGACTTCACTAGCTCTTTGACTTCACTAGCTCTTTGACTTCACTAACTCTTTGATTTCACTAGCACTTTGACTTCACTAGCTCTTTGACTTCACTAGCTCTTTGACTTCACTAGCTCTTTGACTTCACTAGCTCTTTGACTTCACTAGCTCTTTGACTTCACTAGCTCTTTGACGTCACTAGCTCTTTGACTTCACTAGCTCTTTGACTTCACTAGCTCTTTGACTTCACTAGCTCTTTGACTTCACTAGCTCTTTGACTTCACTAGCTCTTTGACTTCACTAGCTCTTTGACTTCACTAGCTCTTTGACTTCACTAGCTCTTTGACTTCACTAGCTCTTTGACTTCACTAGCTCTTTGATTGCACTTCTCTACTCTCCGTAACTCGGAAGTTTTCTTCCAAACTTCCTTTGCTTAATAGACTATATTATAGCATCCTCCCAAATATTTTTGCTGCTCATTTTCGTATAGAAAAGTGTTTGGTCTTTACAGTGTTATTTGCGCGGCCTTTCTGAAACGAAGACCTACTTTTCCCCGTTTGTTATCGGCAACAGTGATTTAGCTGCAGTGTTTTCCTGCATCATTTGATTTGTTGCAATCCGCGTGCTCGATGTTTTTGAATTAGATCATTACCCCCTCTGCAAGATCGAGCTGGTGTTTCAACTGCAATGCCCCCGTTTATAGCCTCGGGGTGTGTTGGGGTGGATATTTTGTGTGATTTTTTTGAAACGTTTGCCTTACAGCCGACCTCAGGTATTCGCCTGCTTTGCTGGTCACGATTGTCGCTTTGTTGCTTTCGAACCACGCCTACCCTGTTCACAAAGCTGACTTCGAATGCTTCCCATGCAGCTGCCAGCAAAAAGATGATGGCACGAAGCACCTTGTAAATTGCCACCTTGTAGGCACCCTGCACCTGAAAGATGTGAGTTTGAGCAAACAAGACATCACAAGTGTTGCAGAGGATGCCTTCACATTGGCATTGGGTTTGGAAAAGTTGTCGCTCTCTGGGAATCCACTGCCTGTTTTGCCAAACAAATTGTTCGCTCCTTTGGGCAGCTTGCGACTCCTGGACTTGGGCAATTTGGGTTTGACACAGGTCGAGTCCGACACGTTCACTGGACTCACTGCTTTGGAAATCTTGTCGCTCAGCCAGAATCGTTTGACACCCTTGCCAGAAGACTTGTTGCGACCCATGCCAGCCCTAGAGCAACTGTTGTTGGGGGGCAAAAGTGATGAGCGCGGTGAGTTAATCATCGAAGGAAATGAGTTGAGCACACTCCCTCAGGAGCTCTTGCGGCACAGCCAGCAGCTACGAGTTTTCGATGTAAGCGAAAACCAGCTGAGCACCCTGCCCGAAAACATGTTTGAAAGAAACCCTTTGCTGCAGAAGATCGACCTGGAATACAACAAGCTGAGTGAGTTACCTGCCGAAGTCTTTGTTGGGCTCAGCAACTTGCAATCCCTCAACCTGGAATCCAACCAGCTCAGTGAGTTACCTGCCGAAGTCTTTGTTGGGCTCAACAACTTGCAATCCCTCGACCTGCGCTACAACAAGCTCAGTGAGTTACCTGCCGAAGTCTTTGTTGGGCTCAGCAACTTGCAATCCCTCAGCCTGCACCACAACAAGCTCAGTGAGTTACCTGCCGAAGTCTTTGTTGGGCTCAGCAACTTGCAATCCCTCGACCTGGGAGACAACAAGCTCAGTGAGTTACCTGCCGAAGTCTGGGCCAATTTGTTTGTTGGGCTCAGCAACTTGCAATCCCTCGACCTGGAATCCAACAAGCTCAGTGAGTTACCTGCCGAAGTCTGGGCCAATTTGTTTGTTGGGCTCAACAACTTGCAATCCCTCGACCTGGAATCCAACCAGCTCAGTGAGTTACCTGCCGAAGTCTTTGTTGGGCTCAACAACTTGCAATCCCTCGACCTGCGCCACAACAAGCTCAGTGAGTTACCTGCCGAAGTCTTTGTTGGGCTCAGCAACTTGCAATCCCTCAACCTGGAATCCAACCAGCTCAGTGAGTTACCTGCCGAAGTCTTTGTTGGGCTCAACAACTTGCAATCCCTCGACCTGCGCTACAACAAGCTCAGTGAGTTACCTGCCGAAGTCTTTGTTGGGCTCAGCAACTTGCAATCCCTCGACCTGCGCCACAACAAGCTCAGTGAGTTACCTGCCGAAGTCTTTGTTGGGCTCAGCAACTTGCAATCCCTCGACCTGCGCCACAACAAGCTCAG